ATGGATAAGTATGAAACAAATTATGTAACCTAAATTTGATAAAAAAATGTATTTCATACAAACTTTCTCCATTATACTGCATTAAAAAAATTTATATATTTATATATAAATATGTTATAGATATGTAAACTAAGCCTATTTTATTGCAATAAAGTACTTTTATCAAAAGATATTTTGGATGAATATGAACATTATTTCGTAATTGGGTAAATCTAGCCTGTTTAAAAATAAGCCTTTGGGACATAACTGGATTTCCTACAAAAACTGATTTCAGTTGAAACATGTCATGCTAAAAGTTACGTCTATCTCTAAAAAGTTTTAAAATCCTGAACAAACGCCTAAAATTAGAATACTGAGCTAAAAATATAAGTTTGTTAAGCTTCTCTTTTCCCCAAGGTAGTCAGAAAAAAATAGCCTGACAGACTTTCAAAAATGGAGACGCAAGCTGATAGGAAATTCGGCCAAAATTTAATCATGCTTCTGTATTTCAAAGGTCAAACAGTTTTTTTTGGAGTAGTGTTTGGCTTTTTCTAAGTGAAGCAAGTATTTTTAGCTCATTTTCTTCTGTAATAATACAAAAATGCGGTGGCTTTTCCCATTGAGCCTGTAAATCTTTGCTAATCTGGGACGCACTAAGTCAGAGCAGTCCGCACTCTAAGTAAAACCAATGCGCCCAACCTGGTCTGAAGGGAACCTCCCAGGGTGGCTGAAACAGGGAAACACAAGGTTGCCTGCTGTACACAGACTTTGAAGGACCCAGGACCCAGCCGGAAGCCACTAACCTTTCTCATACTGACCTCGTTTCATTTAAGTAGCAGTATTATTTCCCACAGGGTAAAAAGACACTTTAAAATAATAAAGCGAAAAAGTTATACTTCCACTTACAGAAAATTTGAAAAAAGACAATGTCAACTTTACTCCCTTAAAACAATTTTGTCTTTAGCAAATACTGAGCTCTGTGAGAGTAGAGTATATGCATTTTTGAATAGTATATGGCACATAAGTGAAGCCCCCCCCAATAATAAAAAGCAAGGTTACTTCAGTAAAGTAGAAATCCAAATTTAGAAATGGAGAATAACCCTAAAAATACACATTTTATAAATAGCTTGTCTTAGTGATAGCAGTTTATGTGGACAATTCCAAAAATAGAGGGGAAAAAAGCAAGATAGGCCCCGCCATACCCCATTTTCCAACACAGCTTTAAACGGTCAGATATTTCATTATGTCTGAAGTTATTAAAACATTTAGCCGACGTTTAGAATGCTTTTTAAAAAATGTTTGTGCCATTTACCAAAGTATCTTCAGCTTCAGAAACATTTTTGACTAAAAAGTGTGTATACATGGATTTGGGGATAGTTATAATAATTGTACGATAATCCTAAACTCTGAAAAGTAATATCCAAAATAGATTTGCAGTTTGGTGTGCCCAGCATTATTTCCAGATTCACACTCTTTCTGACAGAGCTCTGGAGTTAGATCTTTTGTAATCTGTATTACTTAGTAAAGTAACAGAAGTCATTATAGCATTCTTCAAATGATGAGACCTTAATGGGGGGGGGG